AAGGAGGAAAGATTCTGCCATTGAATAAGGACGTCCATTCCTTCAGTACCGGGATCATTACTCGGCCTGGTGCCCAAAACAGAAGCTGGTTGCATAGTCCACTCCAACTCCGAACTGAGAAGAGGTGGGAGAGGTTGAGTGGGAGTCGCCTGACCAACTGCCTTACGGAGCTGAGACACATGAAACACCAGATGGATGGTGGCTATATCAGGCAGCTGAAGCTTGTACATTACCACTCCAATCCTCTGGAGAATGGGATAAGGACCGAAAAATCGAGGAGACAACTTCTCATTCACACGCTTGGCCAATGATTTCTGTCGGTAAGGCTGGATTTTTAGATAAACCAAGTCCCCTACGTCAAACTGAACTCCCCTTCGTTTACCATCTGCCACTTTTTTCATCCTGGATTGAGCCCGGGCCAACTGCAATTTCAACTCATCCAACATGTCATTGCGAAGCTGCAGCTGCTGATCAAGCTCCGCTACCGGCGTCTGCTGGTTTCCATAACGTACAACCGGAGGAGGGTCCCGCCCATATACCACCTCAAAAGGAGTAGTCTTGGTAGATGTATGGAAGGAGGTGTTATACCAAAATTCTGCCCAAGGTATCCAATCAGACCAAGTGTGAGGGTGACTATTAGCGAAGCAACGCAAATAAGTCTCTACACAGCGATTCACGACCTTAGACTGCCCATCAGTTTGTGGGTGGTAAGCTGTACTGCGTCGGAGTTGCGTAGCTTGCAGCCGAAACAGCTCGGTCCAAAACAAGCTAAGGAAAACTTTGTCCCTATCCAAGACCAAGGACCTAGAAAATCCATGAAGTCGTACCACTCCTTGTACAAATGATTCAGCCACTGTCTTAGCCGAAAACGGATGCTTTAAGGTCATAAAATGAGCATACTTGCTCAGTCTATCCACCACGACTAAGATCGTATCCCATCCACGAGACTTTGGCAATCCCTCAATAAAATCCAACATTAAATCCTCCCATATCGCCTCTTGAATCGGCAAAGGTTGAAGCAAACCAGCCGGAGAAAGCGCTAAATATTTGTTCTGTTGGCAAACAGAACATGCCTCCACAAAAAAACTGAATATTTTTTTTCATCCCTACCCAAAAAAATTCCCTGGCAATTCTTTTGTAAGTCTTTAAAGTCCCTGAATGGCCACCAATTGCACTGCCATGAAACTCCTGAAGTAAACTGGGCATCAAAGTGGACCCCTTTGGGAGCACTAGTCGCTGTTTATATAGAAGACACCCATCTGTAATGGACCAGTTATTAATGGACAGAGGATCCCTGAGCAAAGCCTCCCTGATGCTGGCTAACCTCTCATCGGCACCTATTTGTGCCTGCAATACACCCAAATCGAGTACCTTGGATACAGAAATAACAGTTAACTCGGCTGCCACAGAAAGCTGGGACAAAGCATCAGCTGCTTTGTTCTCAAGGCCTGGTCTGTACTGTATCTCGAAATCATAGCCTAGTAACTTGGTGACCCACCTCTGATGTTCAACACACACCAACCGTTGTTCCAGCAAGAACTTTAAACTCTTTTGATCCGTCCGAACTATGAAATGCCTCCCCAGTAAATAGTGGCTCCATTTCTGGATAGATAGAACTATGGCCATTAGTTCCCTTTCATAAATAGACTTGAGTCTAGCTCTAGGAGAGAGGGCTTGGCTGAAGTATGATATAGGTCTTTGTTGCTGAAAAAGAACAGCGCCTAATCCAACCCCTGAAGCATCAGTTTCCACCACGAAAGGCAGAGTGAAGTCCGGTAATGCTAACACTGGAACTTTGGTCATAGCTTCTCGCAACTTATAAAATGCCAGTT